ATAAAAATCCATCAGAGCATCAGTTTGATTTCCCTGTGTTCTGACACTAGTTACCTGGAGCTAGGCCAGACTTCATGAGTAAAGGATGCTTCCTCCAGACTACCCTGCCTGCACACCCCCTCACACCCCAGAAACAAGCCTGAGAGTCCCAGCAGTACCCTCATAATCTTACCTCTGGCTACAGACTTAGGGGTTCCGTCTTCGTTTTTAGAATGCTAGCTGTAAGCTTGAACAACGTTCCTCCTATTACTCCTTTGGGCTCAACAAATTGTTAGAACTATATGTAGAGACCACAGAAAGTGCTGTATTTACTTTTTAAAAAGTCACAGCCCAAAGAAGACAAATGAGAAGACACAAGAAGAGGTCTGGGAGGCTTCTAAGCTTGGAGAATCTCTCAGAACAGGACACACTACTGTCTGTGTGTACTGATGATGCCTCTTTCCAGCCAGGAAGCCCCTGAGCCATTAGGATTGTTACGTGCCTCGATTTGGTGTCCCAACTTAGAGACCCTGTCCACTGGAGGACAAAAGAAACCTTGTCTAGACCTGTCCCATCCTCAGGATTGTTTGGTTTGGATGCATTGCTGCATCTACTGTATCATTTCATCACATGAAAGACCTCCTTCTTTTTTTGCTGACCCTCTCTGCTTTATCAAGCATGCTGTCCTTTTCCAAGGAGTTCCAGAGGCGGAGTGTGTTATGTGTTGCACTCTTACCTGAAAGGCCAGCAGTTCTAATCCACCAGCTCTTTTGAGGCAGAAAGATGGGCAGTCTCCTTCCGTAGCGATTCACCGCCTTGGAACTTGATGGAGGGTTGCTAAGAGTCAGGTTCTACTCGCTGCCAGGGACCTTGTTTCTCTTGCTAACGTGTCTGAAGTGTGAGAGAGGCAGGCCTGCCATTCTCATGCCTCAGGTGCATCCTGACGTGTAAGGCACACGTGTTCATTTTTCTGGCAGTCTGTGGTATGTTCTGTGTTCTCAGAGCTGCTTCTAGCCTTCCTTATTTTGTCTGTTCAGCTAATGAAAAACACCATGGCTTGGGTCAGATGCACCTTAATCTTCAAAGCAATAAAATGTTCATTAGTACTATCAAGTAGCCTTTTTACAGCAAATTTGCTCAATGTAGTCCGTTTGACTTCTTGATGGTTGCTTCCACCACTTACCTTTCACTTTGTTACACTGTGGTGAAGTAAGTTTGTTACTTTCCTGGAAGTAAAGTAACCATCCATGTTTCTAATACCAGCAGGGCTATCTATGGAGGGCAGCTTTCAGCAGAGCTTCTAGACAGAGACAAGCTAGGGAGGAGGATTTAGTGGTCCACTTAGGAAAACACTGGCAGGGAACGCCTTCTGAATAGCAGCGGAACATTTGCTCCCCCAGCGCCTGGAGATGAGCCCTAGCAGTTGGAAGGTCACCGCAGCCGGAGAAGAGCCACTGCCCCAAACTAGACTCCACCTTCCTGGCTCTTCCTGGCTCTGTGATATAAGGCTTTCCGGACTTGGGTTTGTTACATGGCACGACTCAAAATGAGGAGAATCTGCTACAGGCAGCCCATTATTGACTGGGATGTGCCTAGTAGGAATGATAGAATGCGCGAAGATTGATCTCCTCAACATGAAATGGACCAGAATTGGACATTTTGGATCAAATAATTGTACATAGTCTCTTATGCTGGGGACAACAAATGGAAGAGAAATGACAGCTTCATCATTAGAACGAACATTTCAGGATCTTTCATGAAGCACAGTGGTGTCTGTGATAGGATGGCGTCCATGTACATGAAAGGAAGTGCCATTAATATGATGATGATTACAGCTTATACACTGGCCACTTAAAGCTGAAAATGAGGAAATGGAAGCTTTTTACCAACTTCTACAGGCTGAAATTGATCAAACATCAATCAGTGCAGTCAAAATGCATGGATAATTGATGACTGTAAAGCCAAAATTAGAAACATAGCTGAAAAATACAGCCTTAGTGAGAGAAATGGCACCGGAGATCACGTGATATGCTTTCAAAAGACCAGCCAACAAGTAATGTTGCAAAGATCTTTTTTCATAAATGTTTCAAAAATTTATTTTCATAAGTATTGACTGTACATTTGGACCTTCCTAGAGGGAGTCCACAGGCATCAAATAACTACATCAATGAAAAGAGAAGCTTTTCAGGGAGAAGGAGAAACTCCGTACAATATCAGGGACCAACGGTAGAAGAGATCACTAATTTTTCAAATCCAAATTCAAGTTGAAGTTTAAGAACATTAAAACAAGTCCACAGGAGCAAAAGTATGACCTTGAATAGATCTTAATTGGGTTTAGAGACGATCTCAAGAATAGATTAGACACATTAACACAGGTGACTAAAGAACAGAAGTTGTTGGGTGACATCATTTATGAAAGCAGAAAATCATTAAAAATACAAAGACAAAAATGGATTTCAGGAAAGACTGAAACTTGCTGGAGTAGCTAAAGCAAACCTAAGAAATGATGAAATGAAGGAGCTGAACAAAAGATTTCAAAGGGCATTCTGGAAAGATGTAGTAAAATATTTTAATAAAATATATACCACTCACTTTTGGTGTTAGAAAACCAAAAGGGTTAAAATAATAATGAAAAGAAATAAAAAACTTTAGTAAAGTAATAATAACAACAACCCAAAAGGGACCTAGGGACCTGGTATTTCTCAAATTGAAGGAGAAAACTCAAGCCTCGAGTTGCATTAGTGAAGGATTTTGGGGGCAACATATTGAACAAATGAAACAAAGATGGAAGGAATACAGTCACTCCCTGTACCAAAAAGAATTGATTGACATTCAACCATTTAAAAAAATACTGTATGGCCAAGAACAGATGATGGTATCGAGAGTGGAATTTCAAACAAAGTGGGATTCCCGTACTGTACTGGGCTTATCATGAGTAATAAATACATATTTATTCAGGCTATATATTGAGCACATAATTCAAGAAACAATTGAAGATCTAGGCACCAAGCTTGGAAGAAGACCCATTACAGGCAGGTAACCCAGCCTTGCTCACAGTGAAGACAACTTGGAATATTTATTTGTGAAAATCAAAGACTGCAGTCTTCAGTATGGATTATACTGATAGAAATATAAGAAAGCGGAAATTCTCAGAACGGGATAGATGTATTGAGAAAAGTTTGAGACTACTGTGGGTTTAATTTTACGTGGCTCCAGAATCAGTGCCTATGAGCACCCACGAGAGCGTATTTAAGTCTTAATAAGTAATCTTTATGGCATAGTGAGTAGTTAAAACACCTGGCTGCTAACCAGAAAGTTCCATTGCTTGAACTTCCCACCTGCTTAGTGGAGGACAGGATGTGGCAGTCAGCAGAGTGCAGCTGGAAAACCTATTTGGAGAGCAGTTACACACTGTCTTACAGGGTTGCTGTGAGTCTCAGTCCACTGGAAGCAGACCGTATCATGAGGCTTTTACATTATGGTGACTCCTTTTTTAAATAAGGGAGCTTTGGTGGCCTAGAGGTAAGGAATTGTGCTACCAACCTGAAGGCATGGGGTTAGAATGCACCAGCTGCTTTCAGGAGAAAATGGACATTCTCCCATGCAGTTTATTGCCTTCGAAAATCCTCTGGAGGGCCAGCTATGGTTGGATCTGACTAACTGGCACGTAACAGCAGCAACTGTACTCAACAAGATTTGTGTGAGCATACCTTTTTAATGATGTTGTTAAGTGCCATCAAATTACCTACGACTCACAGAGACCTTATGAATAACACCTTACCCTACTCTACACCATTCTTAAGGTATACATATATGTATCTCTATATCTATCTATCTATCTATCTATCCATCCATCCATCCATCCATCCTCCATTTTTACAGTCACTGTGTCAATCTGTTTAATGAGAAGGCCTCACTATAATTTTTTTTAGAATAACAAGAACAGCAACAATTTTAATTAATCTAAAACTATTTATTACTGACAAGTTGGAACTGACTTATTGCTGAATTTGCAGTGAGTTTTCAGCTGTAAATCACAAAGGAGGAGATTGCTCACCTTTCCTTCCAGGTAGCTGGTAGTAGCACAGCTTCCTACCCTCTGGACCACCAAAGCTCCTTTTAAAATCTTAAGCACCATAATTTAATGATGTGTAGTGAGTCTATATGGATTGAGGCTCAATATCAAGAAAACAGATTCTCACCACTGGGCTGATTGGCAGCATCATGATGGATGGTGAAGAGATTGACATTGTTAACAGCTTTACTTTGCTTGCCTCCATAATCAACACTCTTGGCACCAGCAGCCAGGAGATTAAAAGATGAATTGCATTGGTAAAGTCTGCTGTTAGGGATTTCTCTAAAGTGCTGAAGAGCAATGATGTCAGTCTGGAGACTAAGGTATGCCTTATACAGGCCATGGTCTTTGCAGTCATTTGTTATGTGTCAGAGAGCTGGACAATTGACAAGGGATGATAGAAGGAGAGCTGAATATATCACAGACTGCTAAGAGAATGAACAGATTCAACCTGGAGAGGTTTAAACCAGGCTGCTCCTTGGAGGCAAGGATTCTGAAGCTTCATCTGACATACTTCGGACATGTTGTAAGGAGGGACAGTCCTTGGAGAGGGATATCATGCTTAGAAGGGTGGAGGAACAGCACAGGAGAGGAAGACCCTCTACGAGATGATTCAGTGACTGTGGTAATAGGGGTAGGTGTGTCATAAGATTGGGACAGGATAGAGCAGGGTTTAGAGCTGTTGTACATAGGGTTGCTGTGAGTTGCCTAACTACAACACCACCACAGTGGTTCTGTAGATGAGGTTTTCCCAAATTAATTGAATCTACTTTGTGAAATTGACACAGTGGCTGCTTCAGTGGCTCTGGTGTGTCTGGAAGTGTAAGGTAAGACAGGGTGTGGATGAGTCACTATGGTCATCCTCATTCGACAGTACCTCAGTAGAGGCAACAACAGTAACAGTTTTGTGAAATGTTTTCTAATCAGTTTTTTTCTCTCTTTTACAGGGTATCTTGAAAACCACATGCCTCTTTTTTCTTGCAACTTTAGCTCTTGTTTTTCCACTGCCTACAAAAGATCAACATTGTTCTAGAAACTGGAGACATTTGATTTAAAAGAAATAACTTTAACAAATGGACAATATGTCTATTACGAATACACCGACAAGTAATGATGCCTGTCTGAGCATTGTACATAGTCTGATGTGCCATAGACAAGGTGGAGAGAGTGAAACATTTGCAAAAAGAGCAATTGAAAGTTTGGTAAAGAAGCTGAAGGAGAAGAAAGATGAACTGGATTCTTTAATAACGGCTATAACTACAAATGGAGCTCATCCCAGCAAATGTGTCACCATACAGAGGACGCTGGACGGGAGGCTCCAGGTTGGTGCTGTGCCAATTCTTTATCTCCAGTGGTTAATGCTCTCTCAAACTCATACTTCTGTGTATCTTCTGCCAGTGAGCATTTTGGGAGTATATGGGAGAAAGTATCTTCCGCATACTAGAGGTATATCTTTAAAGTGTCTATCGGTGTTTTAATATGATAAGTAAAAATACATAGGACAGAGCATTTGCCTAGCTCCCAGTGTTTGCATGTATAATTGAATGACATTGTTCGTTACCATCCTTTTCTGAATTATCCCACGACCTTTAACAAGAACCTAATGTCCTCTGGCAGTAAGTAACTCTTTGGTTCCCCCTAACACCCTGCCAGCCACAAGGAAACTCTACTTTCCATATGTTGTTTTTAAGTGCTGTTGAGTCACAGACTACTCATAGCGACCCTATGAATGAAAGTCCTGGACACCTCCTGTATAACTTTCGTCCATTCTCCAGGTTCATAGGGTTTCCAGAAGCAAGCTATTATGGAAGTGGATGCCACTCCTGCTTCCAAGCTTATTTTAATTGGGGAGCGTCACCAAACACTGTCTGCCATGGGTAACCGTTATCGCATATACTTATTTCACGTAGATGGGATCATACCGTATTTTTCCTTATCTGAACAGTGTTTTAATATATGGCCCCCAATGTAGTTCAGTCCAATGGGGGGAAAATAAAGCAGAAGAAAATTTGTGCTCCAAAAGAATGTAATTTGATCTTCATCCAAGTAGTCCTTTATTTTCTTTTTTTTTAAAAATTTATACACTTAATAATCCCCTGTGTATTAAGTGAACATTTGATCATCTCATCTATTTAGTCCTGTTGTAATACTTTATGTATCTTAACACCATATGTTTAATACTTTCATTATATGAAAATCACCTCAAGAATGAATTGATTTCAGAACTTGAGTTAAAATTTTGCATTTTATCATTTTTCTCTCCCTTTATTTTCACTGGCCACATTTCCCTGTACAACTATGTAATGATCCCCTGTGTGTAATACTTTTAAAGAAAGCACGGGAATCGTAGCTTAGTTCCATTTCCTAGCAACCCTCCACCAGATTCCTGCAATGGAATCTTTAAGAGAGGGAAGAAATGGCTCATTTTTGTTCTGTGAAGTAATAGCTGAGGGATTTGAACCACTGACCTTCTGATTAACAACCTGACATGTAACACAATATGCCGCTGTTCTGAGGGAAAAAGACGGGTCATCTTCTCCTGTAGACATACTGAGGAAGGTGGCTGGCAGTTACAGTTGGCTCAGCGTCAGTGCATATGGTTTGTGGTTGGTTTTTTTTTTTTTTTAATTTTTTATTTATTTGTTTTTATAGACATCTTAAGTGGGTGAATGAAATTATTTTACTTTCAGATTTCAGACATGGTATCTCCAGCAGATTTGTACCTTTTATGCTTGTGAAATTGAGCACAAGTCTTGAAATGGTAACTACTTTGAAGTTCACTAGAGACAGAGCTCTGTTGTCATGCCCTGTGATCATGGGCGAGTGAGATGTTTGGAGCATTAATTTTCCCAATTTTTAAGATAGTATTTCTACTAGTGACATCATAGGATTATTTCTGAGTGCTTTGGTATAGTGGTTGACATACAGATTATTCAATTATACATTCTAGGTGGCTGGTCGGAAAGGATTTCCTCATGTGATCTATGCCCGCCTCTGGAGATGGCCGGATCTTCACAAAAACGAACTAAAACATGTTAAATATTGTCAGTATGCATTTGACTTAAAATGTGATAGTGTCTGTGTGAACCCATATCACTATGAACGAGTTGTGTCACCTGGAATTGGTAAGTAGACTTTGCCTTTATCCTTAGAAGCATAAAGAGTAAAGATCCCAATAGTAGTTTGGTCCCCCCCCCACCCCAGAAATAAGGTGTAGAATTCAAATAGCTCAGTTTCTCAAAGGTAGTTAAGATTCAGACATTTTCAATGAAATACAAATGTTGAAATTTGAACTTGGAAATCAGCTCCTATTCTGATTATTAAAAGTATATATAATTGGGGAAAACCAAACAAAAACCAAAAAAATCATATAATTGATCTTTTGTCTAGGTAGAACAATGTTATTGCAAAATAAATTGGAAAATATAGAATTGAATGGCATGTTTAATGTTTATTATTAGGATTTTTATGAGTTTGAGATGGTTCTAAGAGTTTTGTGATCTGGATTAAATAATATAATATAAATGGAATATTTACATATTTTAATAATAATGATTACATTTTTTTCTTCTTTCAAAAATTAAGATCTCTCAGGATTGACACTGCAGAGTAATGGTAGGTAATTTATTTTTATAGTTTTCTGTTTTCTATGAAGTCAGTTTGTTGTTTTTGATCTAGAATTTGTGTATTTAGCAATTTAGTAATGTTGCCAGACATATTTAGTGCTTTGAAAGTGTGTGTTTTTTTAATGTGCTAGCGTTTAAAACTGAATTTAAATTGACTACTGGCTATTTCAGTTGAGACTCTTACAGAGCTAGTTTCGAAGATAATGGCTTATAAATCCTAATCATGTATAGCATGTCCTTTAAAACTGAATATTTAAAATATTCTGGTTTTTTCTTCCTTTTCAAGCAGATTTATTTTTATAAATGATAATTGGTATATTTTTCCAGCCTTGTTTTATTTTAAGAAAATAAAACATCTAAATAGTTTTTTAATATACATGCTGAATTCTATTTTGAAAAAGAAAATGTTATGATAATCAAATGGTGTGTGTGTTTAATCTTTTAGCATTATATTTAACAGTAGAATTCTGTTATTGGCTCAGTTTCTTAACACATGTGCATAAATTAGAATTTCTGGAAGAATGAATTTGCACAGAAATGCTTAATAGAGCAACTACTATCTTGGAAAGGTGTACCCTGTTCTGGAGGGAAATTGGTGATTAAACATGTCATTTGTAGTAGAATCTTCGTCTTTGACTATGGGTTGGGAATACTCAACAACCTTGATAAAATTTAGGAAGAGCATGCAGGTGTGTTTGTTTTTATTGTCCACTTTTATACCTCATTCAGCGTAGAGGAAGACTTAGTGCCTTTTGGTACTAATTGTTTAGAACAGTTCAGTCATGTCTTTCAGAAAAGTATGTCCCGAGTGCTCCTTAGAGACAGACATGGTGAAGCATTATCTTACATACTTTGTCTACGCTGTTAGGAGGGACCAGTCTTTGGCAAGGGAGAGGTTCAGCAAAAAAGACAACTCTTAATGAGATGAATGACAAAGTGACTACAGAGGTGGGCTCAGGTATGTCAGAGAGGAGATGAATGGCATAGGACAGGGCAAGGTTTTCATAGGGTCGCCATGAGCCATACTCACCTCGACAGCAACAGCGCTTAGATGGTTTCTGAGAAGTAGCGATTGGCGTCAGAGCTGTGTTGGTGGTCTGGGCAGGCTCCCTCTCACAGACATTGGCATGCCATATGTCTCTTCTTTAGAAGAAAGTGCCAAGTCTCTACTGTTGTCCACCTGTGTTTTTGGAAAATTGACCATTTAGATTTTAGGAGTTGCCCGATTCCATGTTGTCCTCCCATCTAAGCTTTTTGATTGACCTTCCTTCTTCCTGTCCTCATGAGATGTCCTTCATCGTCCAGCTTTTCAGGCTGTTTACTCAGTGTGTGGTTTAAATCAGCGTGGTGAATGGATGCAACCCTGACGCACACCTTTGCTGACTTTAAATTGTGCAGTTTGCCCATGTTCTCTCTGAACAAATGCATAACAGGTTCTACATGCGTGCAATTAAATGTTCTGAAATTCCCGTGGAGACTGTAATGATAAGTCTTATCATAGTTTTCCTGACGGGAGTAGGCTCAAAGGAATCCATAGTATGAAGGTTTATCCCATTTCTTCCCTAGCCATTTGTTGCTATTTTGAGTACTTGTGTTCCTGGGGGTGTATGGCTTGATAACCAACCTTCTTTGTGATTTGACTCTACTACTATAGTCTGCTCTATGCCTCCCTCTAGTGGTAGTTGTGTAAAAGCACTCTTCAAAGGCTTATTTGCTCAACATTAAGAGGTATTTTCCATGCTGCCTCTTCAAGATTTGCATAAGAAATATGACAAGGGCAGGCAACTGCTAAGAGTTAATAAATGAGGTGATTCCTTTGCTTTTGACTTGGAGGTCTTGGTGGTAATCAGACCTGTGTATTCATTTGCGTGAATATATACTGAGCATGCATTGCCTAGTTCCAGGACACTGAGGTAAATAAGGGGTGCCTTCTCCACGCTGAGGAGCTCATAGGCTAGTGAAGAAAAACCAGTTGCCATCAGGGTGATACCAATACATAGTGACCCAGAAGACAGTGGCAAAACCCTTTGACAGGTGTTCTGGCCTGCCTGCTGGTGGTGTTAGTGAGCACAGACCTGGGCTGGGCGCCGCAGCTTTAAGAGTATATTCTCTGGCCCTTATTTCCCCTGAGGGTTATTCACAACTACTGTGGGTTTGTCTCACCACCCTAAACACTGTGGTGTTAATGGCCAGCACCTATCGAATGGTCAGAATGGTCGTTTTGTCTCAGGTCCTGAGCTAAGTAAGTAACTTACAAACCCCCTGTCTCATTCTCCTAATGCCTGTCCATGGTGAGTGGGATTGGCTGCACTTTCCAAGAGACAGAGACTGGTTGGTGCCTGCAGAGGTCAAGGAGTCAGGCAAAGTCGTACAGCGAGGAAGGGGTGCAGTGAAGTGTGCTCAGTGTTGAATGCTTTTTTTTAAAAATAATTTTCTTTTTTTATGTGTGTACCGTCAAATTGGATCTGACTGGTACAGGAGGCAATTGTTCCTCCTTCTTTAGCAGAGCATCTGGTGAATTTGAACCGCGCACCTCTGGGATTGCAGTGCAGTTTCCTGCCACTAGGCCACCAGAGCTCGCCTGAACGCTTTTTAAAAATAGAAAAATACAAGCCCAAAATAATGAAACCTAAGAACTGAAAAAAAAAATAGTATATAAGAAAATCTATCTACTCCGTGAGGAAAGATCTTTGATTTAGATGTAGCCCAAGTTCTAGAGCAGTTATACACGTGTTCAGTAAAATTTTTTAACGAGTGAATGAACTTATTGAATGTCTGTCCATAAAGAGAAATGCTAGTTTAGTGTCTGCTATTGTAATTTTGTATGTGTATATGTAAAAAAATAAAACAGCAGTGTGCCATTACATATAATCGTTGTGTGATAAATAAATAGTAGTTGTGTTCTAGCGAGTTGACAGTGACTCAGAGACACCCTGTGAACACTGTAGAATTTCTGGATGAAAACAACCTCTCCTTGGTTTTTGATCCATGCTCTGTAAGCAGTTATACATAAGGATTTGACCTTTGAACTATTCCCAAAGCTTTGGCAATACAAAAGATTAAAAATAGTCATGTAATGAATTGATATTTGTGGGTAATAGATTTACCTCAAAGATTGACATTTTGTCACTGTTAGCCGCCAAGTTAGAACCAACTCATAGCTGATCCTCCGGCAGGTTTTCAGAGGCAGTAAATTGCATGGGACAAGATTACCCTTCATTTCTCCTGTGTACTATCTGGTGGATTTGAACCACATGCCTCTGTGTTTGCAGTGCAGCTTCTTAGGGCAAGGCCACCAGAGCTCCCAAAGATTGACACAGGAAACATTAAAGCAAATCACAGACTTGTTCTTAATAGAAAATGTCTTTTTGTGTATTATAAATAGACTTTTCTAAGGAGAGAACATATTATGGTTCAGTAGGTTATAAAATTTTTGTGATAGGATTAGCATAGTGTATCTGTTTGAAGCAATATAATGATTGTTGCAAAAGGTAAAAAGCAGATCCTAAAATAATAGTGCCCCCTTCTTGGGATGATCATGGGCAGAGAGCTGGAGACTTGTAATATTGTCTGGCTTCAAACTTGAGGGGGTCAGTCAGATTGAAGGATAACATGTATCTGATGCCACAACCAATAAATCATAGGCTCTTGCTGGTAAAATAATACACTCTTTTTAAAAATCTGAATTAATATGAGTATAATTTTTTCATGATCGGTTACGTTATGTTGTGTGTTTATGAGATTTCCCACCACCTGGAGGAATAAAAACTAGTAAGATTTTAAAATACATCTCATTTTCTGTGTAGCCCCGAGTATGTTGGTGAAGGACGAATATGTTCATGACTTTGAGGGACAGCCATCATTATCTACTGAAGGACATTCAATTCAGACCATCCAGCATCCACCAGGTAATCGTGCATCAACGGAGACATACAGCACGCCAGCTCTGTTAGCCCCGTCGGAGTCGAATGCGACCAGCACCACCAACTTTCCCAACATTCCTGTGGCTTCCACAAGTGAGTAGTCAGCAAGTTCAGTTTCACTACGACGTATTTGTAGGTAGGTCCTTAAAGGGAAACTCTTAAGTGAAAAAATTAGTAGTGCTGTAGTGTGTTTTATATACAGACAAGTACTGTATAAAGCTTGGGATTAGTCCTGGAAAAACTGTGTTTTGTATTTCCTTGAAGATTTTTGCATTTGAAATGTAAATGATGACTTTGATGATAGTGTTAATTTAAGTTATAATCTAACTTGTTCTTTATTGCTGTTTACAGCAGTGAGAAAGTGCTTCAGTTTTCAAATAGCATTTAAACATTTCAGTAGTTAACAAAAGTAGTTTTGAACCAAGATGTGTATAAAGTCTGTTAATGGCATTGCCAACATCCCTTTAGTCCGGGATTATTTCAGTTTATCTTAGAGTTAACTTTATGATCATCTCCGTCTCCTGTAGCAGGAATGTAAAAAAAAAAAGGATTTTGACAAATTTGCTAATAGGGTATATCCCTCATGATAGTTAAGTTTTTTAGTCAATTTGGATATAAAGCTAAGTTCTAGATAATAAACTATTTTTAGATGAGAAGTGCGTTTTTCCAAAGGGTTCTTCCCATAGTCATGTCCTGGGGTTAGAGGGAGTTTAAGTTCATCTTTTTGTAGGACCCTGCGTGAGGCATTAGTGACCTGGTTCTTTTAGTATTTGTTCATTTAGTATTTTCAGTCACCAGAGACTGAATGGCAGGCAACCGTTGGTTGCTTCGAGGGAAGAACACAGTGGATATTAGTTAAACCTGATTGCAGAGATTGTGCTTTTACCTCCATTGAGAATAAATTATTGATAGATTTGAGTTAATCCTTTGTTAGCCATGATGATGCTAATAGAAGCATCATTCTATTTATTTAATGTTAGATCAGATTGAACATAGACTTTGTTGCAATAAATAAGGGACTAATTTCTATAATTGTGAACTTTCAAGTAAAGTACACAAAGTAGATCCCATTAATTCATTTCACCACTTCATAGCAATGTGTATTTGGAATTGTTACCTAACTCATGACAGTTGTACCATGAAGAATGTATTCTAGGTGGAAGATACAGGCTTTAGAACTCATCCCTGTAGCTAGTGGGTGCTCCTGGTATCTGACTGCCCTTTATTTACCAATAAGGGAATCTGATGAATAGGATATGTGGAGATGGATTAAAAAAGACTGTTAGAGCAGAGCTAACTCCCATTTCTATATCTGGAGGATGAAGTTTGCATGCCTTTGCTGATGCTTACTAGTGCAGACTCGATTTCACGACTCTGTTCCTGGGCTAGGTCGTTTTCGAAGACTAGAAAAATTGGTAGGAATGAAATGCAACTAATTTGATCTTGATATTTTTTGGGTAGATTTTTCAGTTGAATAGTAAATACTGGAGTTCTTAGAACTTGTGGCTCAGTGCTCCCTTAAGTCTCAAAAAGTATACTGATAGAATGAAAGAGAAGTTAGACTGAAATAGAAGACACTGGAAGACGGCTATCCCCGTTATGTTGATTAACTTGGTCTTATTCATTTGGAATTGTGTACAGAAAGAAGCCGTGACGGGAGGGGCCTAATCCTTGCAGTTGGGATCAATTTGGCATCTAAACATTATAAGTGTTTTCTTCTAAATAATCTAGAAATGAAAATAAATTTTTTCCTAAAGAGTGACAAGTTTTGTAAGTGAACTAGTAGTATATTGTATATATTATTATTTTTTTAAATGCAAAAATGTAATTTTTTTTTTACTTGAAAGAAGAAAAACTTACTAGCCAGTGACCCAGAGGAACTCTTGTTGTTCCAGAGATCTGGGCCTATAATTACTTTTAAAGGTAATAGATGATTACCTTTTAAAAGATTTGAGAAGATGAATAGAAAGGGAGGTGGCTAAAATGTTGTCTTTGAAAAGAAGTGATCTGGGGATGTGTATTGAAATATTCTGTTTATGTTTTGGTTTTATAATCTTTAAGGAAATGGAACCTGTTTTTTGGTGCTGTCGAGCCCAGTACGAACCACAGCCCCTCTGTAAACAGCAGATCTGAACCCTGTCCTGTCTTGTGCCATCCTCACATTTCTGACACACTTGAGGCCGGTGCAGCAGTCACCATGTCAGTTCACCTGGTTGAGCGTCTCCCACCTGACCAGGGTCTGTGTGACCTGTACAGAGGAGAAAAATGGTTCCATTTCCTCTGTACTTGGAGCCCTGGTGTCACTGACTCTTACGTCTGATTATATTTCCGTTTAGATGAGAAAATAAGTTTTTCACCTTCTACATTACATCTCATTTAAAAGATCTCCCTGCTCTGTTTTCCTTTGCTTGGACCATAGCGTTCTGCCATTACCAGAAGTGGTGTCAATAATTACCGAGCCTAGTTTTTAACTTTTTCTTGAGCCCAGACTTTGAAATCTTTATCAGAAAGATCTAGAGACAGACAGGTAGAGTGAGCAAACCATTATGTTTCTGAGAAAGTGACTGTGATAGGCCAGAATAATCCTAGCATTTAAAGATTTGTAAAGGCCACTGAAGGGAGATACTTTACTTAGGAGGGAGTCATGTTGAGCATGTTCAAGGTGAAGGAGCCCTGGTGGTGGGGTCCTTATGGAGTTGTGTGGCTGACCCAAATCCACCAGCCACTCCTGGGGAGAAAGGTGGGCTGTCTCCTCCTGTGATTGACAACTTCCAAAAACCCCCTGCAGAATCCGGTGTACGATGATTTTAGATTTTTTTTTTTTTTTTTTAAATTTATTTGATGAGTCCTAATTGAGTTTCCACTTTTGCCCGTCTTCACAGTTGTGGGCGTATCCATATATGTGTGTATGTCGTGTGTATTGTGAGTCCTTCCTTTAATCCGGGAGGCCGTAGGGCTGCATGTGTAATGTACCGTCGTCTTGTCTCCTTGTTCCTGCAGGTCAGCCGGCCAGTATCCTGGCGGGCAGCCATAGTGAAGGCCTGCTGCAGATAGCGTCAGGACCTCAGCCTGGGCAGCAGCAGAACGGATTTACCGGGCAGCCAGCCACATACCACCATAGTACGTCCATGCTTTCTAACATCTTTTAAATCGTTGAGATAAATAGGCAGCCTTTGTGAAAGCCAATTAATCCATGTGGGCCTTAATTTTTAGACAGCACTACTACCTGGACTGGAAGTAGAACTGCACCATACACACCTAATTTGCCTCACCACCAAAACGGCCATCTTCAGCACCACCCGCCTATGCCGCCCCATCCTGGACATTACTGTAAGCTCTTGTTTCTGTTGTAAGGGCTTTTTCTTTTCGAGAACTTTTTTTTTTTGGAAATGTTTTACATCTTTATTCATCATACAGTTTAGTTTCACCAACAGATTAGTGCTTTTCAGTATTTCTTTTAAATACAGTATTTTTCATAGTCATAGTTTTATGTCTTTGTTTTAGAAGAGTAATGTTTACTAAATACATTTATCTCTGTTGCTGATGTTTCATTAACACCACATTGAATTCCATTCATTTGTTTGTTTGCTTTGTGTGTGTTCTTCAATCCCATTGTATCTTGTATATCCACGCTTATCGGTGCCCAGATCTCAAGACTTTACTCACTGTAGGCTTAGCAGATAGTAGACACTGAGATAATGAATATGTTGATAGCTTATGCAGGCTTAATAGGAAACCATCCTATCCTGATAACCATAGCCTGCAGTTTCTGATAAAGTGGAAATACTGTCCATTTGCCTTAAAAAATATCAAGACTATAATTCTTTCATATAAAATCCCTTTCCGTCTCGTTAGAAAACTTGTATCACGAAAGAAAAGCTAACGAATACATAAAGTATATACAGAAATAAGTATTACCTAGAATCCTACCAGCCAGGGTTTCCCACTTTTAGGATTTTGGTATATTTTCGCCTTCCAGTCACATAAATGAGTTTATATAAACTGGGTGATGGGGAGGAGTGGGGATCATACTAAAACTGTATGTATGTATGTATGTATGTATGTGTGAATGCATATATCCTGTCTTAAGAGAATATAATTTTTAATGGCGTCCTGGGACAGTGTAGTGACAGTATGGGATTTGTACTCTTTAACTAGTTGTGACCTTTGAAAAGTTTTTAATCTCAAGACTAAGAGTTATAGAAGCTGCCTTTAAGGTATTGTTGATAAGTGTCATAGTTCATGTGAGATGTTTAACACAATGTCTTAACACATTAAAAAAAAAATCAGATTTGATAGCTATTATTCTGTTACTTAAATAACCATAATTTTGACAGGCCATTAGCAGTTTGAATTTTGACACTGTATTATGTGTGTTACATGATTGATTAAATTATAATGTGCGTTAAATATTACATGTGAAGCAGTCTGTAAATTTTTTAATGGTATGTTACACAGCACTCATGTTAGCTGCCTTTATTAAATACAAGAGTATTTACTAAGTTCATAGGGTATTTTAAACTAAGCTTCTGAGTTCTTAGGCATTTCATAAGCTTAATCCAAACTTTTAATGTATGATTGTTATACTTGAGTACATATTATTCAAAGTTTTCATATTGGAAAGCTTTAAATAAGTAAAAATGGGATTTTTGTTGTCTTTTTCTTTAGGGCCAGTTCACAATGAGCTTGCATTCCAGCCTCCCATTTCTAATCATCCTGGTAAGTGTAAAATTCTGGGAAAGGGTCAAAACGGGTTCCTTAGTTTCCTAGAAATTGAAACAGGCAGAAGAGTTTTAACAGAATTAGAAGATACCTTGACATTTTGAAGAAATACAATGCTCCTTGTAACATGAGTTGATGAAGTAGTTTAGGAGTTGCGACCTGTGGTTACGACCTGTGGTTACGCATAGACTGTCTGATCTCATTTAACAGTCTCCAAACAAACTGGAGACATAAACTGTTTCCAGCTAAGATACAAAGTATTGAAATTTTGTTCTAAGTATTGACTCTATGAATGTGCAGCAGAAGCAAACGAGTTTCCAAAAAGAACACTGTAAAATTGCAGCTTTAAAAGCAAAAGAAGAAATTTAAGTAGGTACTAAAAAATAATTCATTATACCTGTCTTAGAAGATGACCCCGGAATCTCTGGTTAATTGAAATAGAGAAACTGTTTGATTAGATTATGTTCAGACAAATAGTTAAAGTAGCTTTTTTTCTGTTTACAGTCTGTGTGCAGTTTAAACATTATAGTAGTGATAAATATAGAGAAAGTTTAAAAACAGAAAAGGAAATACGGTCTTTTGTAAAACCTGCATAGATGTTGATTTCTACCCCCATTCAGCTTTCAAAGATTTAAGTGTTATTTTAACTAAAAGCCTTGATTTTTCTTGAACCATAAATTCAATTGTCCTCCTATTTTTTAAAGAAAGCTTTTTTATTATGAAGAATTTCAAATATATAACAACCAGAATAATAGAAAGATTGCTTGATGGGCTCATTCTTAAGCATCAGCCATTATTCAACCCAGTCTTGTTTCATTCACACACTGACCTACTTTTTGCTCTTTTGTCATAAAGTGTAACTTTTCTAGATTGATCTGAGTATTTCAGTATGTATTTTTGAAACAGCCATAATGAAACAGATCCACACAATTTTCTTTCTTTTCTTTTTTTAAAATTTATTTTGTTTTTTTATTAAAATCAAATCAGATCTGACTGGTACAGGAGGAGATTGTTCCTCCTTCTCCAGCAGAGCATCTGGTGGACAGTTTTCTTAAGCAGTGTTCTGTTGCTTGTTGCGTGTTGGCTCCATTTTTTAAATTTTTTAAAATTAGACAATTACCCCTTCTGTCACATTACAGTGTAAGAGATTTTCAGAGTTTCTGGAGCAAAAGGCCAGATTGCTTTACTGTGATAGCATTACAGTATGAATCCATTTTTACTGCACTCACCAGTGAGAGATGTGAGGGTTTTCACACATCTTGTGCTGATTGATGAGACAGAATGAGGGTTGGGTTTTATTTGGGACTTTTTTCATATTTGGTTTTAATAAGACAAAATTATAAAAAGCACTTTGTTATATTTACTAGTTATCTTGCCTATAGTATTTGTGATTTTAAACATAAATAACAGTTAATCCTGGAACAACACGGGCTTGAGCAGTGCATGTCCACTTGGACGTGTGATTTTGCAAAAATCATCGCATGGCGCTAATCATCTCACCAGCGGTTTGTCCCCCTGGTGACTTGTTTATTGCAGTAAAAGGGATCTGTGGCTCTTTGCCTTTTCCTCATTGTGTATATTTCCATATCATAATCCTTGAGTAACACCAAGGGGCTCATAGGAAGTGCCAGTCATCATGCTGGATATGCTCCTAAGAAGCAGAGGAAAGTCTGGCAAGAAGCTGCACTGTAATCCCAGAGATATGCAGTTCAAATCCACCTGATGCTCTGCCGGAGAAGGAGGGGCAATCTCCTCCTGTATCAGTCAGATCCTATTTGACGGTTCATGCATAAAAAAAATAATAATAAAAATGGAGGGGGAAAAAAAGCAGAGGAAAGTCATGACATTGTTAAGGAAAAATTGAATTGCTTACTTGAAATGTATCCTGCCTAGATTGAGGTCTTCAGCTGTGGTTGACTGTCATTTCAAGATAAATGAATCCAGCTTTAGGGCCCTTTTTTTAAAAAAAAAAAAAAGGAAAAAATACATTTGTGAAACCATTGCTTAGGCTATGCCAGTAGAGGCAAAACCCTTGTGCTTTGTGCAGAGTACCTTTTTGTCTTGTATTTAAAATGCAGCTTTAAAGTGAATGCATGGTATAATACAGGTAGCATAAAAAAGAGATGCTAAGCAACTGTTAATGTTATCAGTAAAGCTTCTGGTTTACAGGTGCCAATTAGTAGTTAAGTTTTGTGGGTGTCAAAAGTTACAAGTAGATTTTTTTCAGCTGCATAGGAGGTATGGCAACCCCCTCCCAACTTCCACATTATCCAGGAGTCAGTCCTGTGTAGAAGAGTATATGAAACAATGAAACAAATGTTTAATTGAATGTGTAACTTACAGACAGCATCTCACCTCTATAACCAGTGCCCTGGTTGGCAATTAGCACACCTCGTTAGCAACACCCCAGAAACCGTCCTGTTCCATGGATTTTGTCTGTCACAGCCTTTTCCTCCTCTGTCTCCTACTGGCTGGCAGCCACTGTTCAGTTTTATTGAACATCATGTTTGTTGCTTTTCTTCTAAAGTGATGAACATAGCCTTGAGCAATTTGGCTTAGTATTTTGAGGGTTAATGTGGCCCGTGACGGGAGGTCCTTGTTCGTAGAGCTTGGTGGGATATGTTCTGAGGGAGCGAGCATGGTTGGGCCCCGCAGAGCAGCCCTCGGGTGGAGTAATGACGTGTCAGGGAGGTGCGCTTAGTTAATCAGTTGGACTTGGCTCTGGACTCAGCAGTTGCCTTTGGCCTCTGAATAGCTTTATTTCATTCTTCTCAACATCAACAAAACTGATGTTGAGACATAACAACTCCTGGTGGTTAGAGAGAACATTAACTAGTTATTAGCATCAAAAGAAGTGGTAAATAAATTAATTACTACCACACAGTAAAATCTTCCTGAAGACAATTGAAAAACATCTGGAGTAGTTCATTATAGCAACAGGAACGTCTCAGAAATTCATGCTGGATTCAGGAGAGACCACAGAACACGGGATGTTAGTACTGATGTCAGGTAGATTTTGGCTAAAAGCAGAGGTTATCAGAAAGATATTTGTGTTTTAGCAGCCGTCCAGATGCATTTAGCTGCGTAAATCATCATAAATATGGATAACATTGACAAGAATGAACTCTAAATTGAGTTCATGCAGAACCTATGCATAAAACAAGAAGTAAAAAAAAAAAAACAAAACAAGAAGTAGTCCAACAGAACAGAGATAACGGTATGATTTAGAATGAGGAAAGGTATGTAACATACTCAGTGTGTTTGCTGAGCAAGGGACCCAGGAAAGTTGACTGTGTGGAGAATAGTGTGGTGTCAGGATTGGAGGAAGAGTCATCAGCGTGATACAGATGACACTACCTTGGTAAACAGAAATTGAAGAGGACTTGGAATGTGTACTGAAGAAGATCAAAGACTGCAACTTCAGCGAGGATTATACTTCAACCTAAAGAATATTTAAATCCTCACAACCAGACTATTAGGTACACTCATGACAAATGGAGAGATTGAAGTAGGCAGTGATTTAGTTTTATGTGGATCCACAGTCTGCACCCGCTGAAGCACCAGTTAAGAATCAGTCTGACCCAAGCCATGTAATTTTCATTTGACTTCATTTGCTTGTGAATGTTCAACAATTAATAAGAAGGACCAAGGAAGAACGATGAGCTCAACTTGTGGTGTTGGTGGAAGTATATTGAGTATACTGTGGACTGTCAAAAGAGTAAACAAATGTGTCTTAGAAGAAATACAGCCAGGTTGGTTCCTGGAAGCAAGGATGGTGAAACTTTGTGTCATATTTTGGGCATGTTACGTAGAGGGGCCAGTCCTTGGAGAAGGGCATTATAGTTGGAAAAATAGGGGATGAGCAAAGGAAAGGAAGACTCTCAGCTCCACTGACAGAATGACTGCAACAGGGGGCTTCACCGTAGCCACGATGTGAGGACGGTGGGGCCACTATGGGCTGGGGTCAACCTGAAGCCACTTAACCACAGTTAGGAGCATAGCAGTGTGCATTTGATACTAAGATTTCTATATATTTGAGTAGAACAGAAATGACTTTCAGTAACAAGGGTGATCCTGAAAAGAGATTGCTGCCTGCTGCTTGGACGAGGCGATACACTTTTAACATAGTCAACTTCTTATTTCTAAAGTGTTCTTTGGCTGTATTAATAGAAAACTCAGTGGAGTTTTGCAACAAAAATATTCTTCCTTTCTCCTTAATGTATTATTAAAAGAATTTCCCCCTGGTATGCCTGTTAGAAGAGAATGTTCCACCTGGGATTCCTGTTCCCAGTACTTGCTCTCCTTGCCACTCATTCTACTTATCCTACCACTAATTAAAGTATTTCTTCTAAAGTTTCTTCTCTGCTCAATATGTTGAAGGGATTCCTTGCAGATTGTTTGGTCACAGCCTAATGACCAGATTCCTTGATAAGGTGGCAGAGTCTGGGTTCCTGGTCTCCTTTTACTCTTCTAGCCTCATTTCTTGCTCTCTTCCATTAATGCCAAGCAGCTCAATCCTGAATTTCTAGCTGAGGTTGCTAGGCTCAATCTCTAGCAATAGGCATAACTGATAGCAAATCTCCATTCTGTATATTGACCTCTCCAGATTATTGAGAAATAATGATGTCAGTTTGAGGACTAAGGTGTGTCTGTTTCAGGCCACAGGCTGTGCGTCTGAGACCTGGACAGTGAGTAAGGATGACAGAAGAATTGATACCTTTGAGCTATGGTGTGTTGGAGAAGAGCATGGAACATCCCATGTATGGCCAAAAGAACAAACAAATATGTCTTGGAGAGGGTGCAGCTGGAATGCTCTTTGGAGGCAAGAATGATGAGGCCTCACCTCACATACTTTGGGCGTGTTACTAGGAGAGGCTGTTCCTTGGAGAGGGACATGATGTTGGGAAGGGTGGAGGATCGGCAATGGAGAGGAAGACCCTCAACCAGGTGGACTGATGCGTTGTCTGCCACAGTGGGCTCTTGTGTATCAGGAAGTGTGAGGATGACACAGGGAATGGAGTTCAAATCTTTTGTTCATAGGGTCATTTTGAGTCTTACTTGAGTCAACAGACACCTAACAACAAAATAAATAAGTGAATGAATAAAATGAAAATATAATATGTAGCAGATTATCCCCAAACATAGTGAGTTACATATAACAACAGTAGCCATTTATTCAATCATTTGCTTTCTGTGGGTCATTGATCTGGGAGTGAATTAGCTAAGAGATTCTGGGTTAGGGTTAGGGTATCTCCTTCAGCTACCCATCCTCCCCCCAAAAAGAGATTTATTAGGGAAAATACTTTGCAAAGGAAGATGTGGAGGGGCTTGGCAGTGCTGGCTCTGTCTCTAGGTTAGGATCTCTTTGGAAGTTACAGTAAAGGTACTGCCTGGGGCTGCCTTTATCCCAGGTCTTTTCTGTGGGATGAGGAATCATTTCTAGGGTAGTTCACCCCTGTGCCTGACAGGGAGCTTTGGTGTCTTTTTGTGTGGACTTCTCAGTATAGCTACTTTGAGTGTCTTTCTTCCAGCATGGAAGCTAACTTTCTCCAGAGTGAAGTCGAGAGGAGGGAGGGTGTGTGTGTGTGTGTGTGTGTGTGTGTGTGTGTGTGTGTGTGTGTGTGTGTGTAAAAGCCTCAGTGTCTTTAGACAGACTCGGAAGTTCATCATTTCTTCACCTTCCTGCTCAGTGTGGGAGGGCACAAGGCCATAAATATAGGAGGCCAGAATCATTGTGAGCCTTTTGCATGCTGTCTGCCACCTATTCCTACCCTTCTCAATGGAGCAAGTTTTCTAGTCATTGGAGGTATTTAAATTACTTGTTTAATGGAATACAATAAATACACCTTCCAGGTAAAATTGCAGTGATTGACATGTAGCGATGAAGTTCATCAGGGTTATTTCTTGCAGTAGTGCATGGGAGAGCTCTAGTGGCTTAGCAGTGAGGAGTGGGCTGCTGACTCCAAAGGCATGCAATTCGAATCCACCAGCTGGGCCATGGAAGAAAGAGAAGTCTCCTCCTGTGTGATTTATTGCCTCCGAAAACCTATTGGCTAGCTGCGAATCAGTTCTGACCCAACAGCACATAATATGTACATACAGGGCAAATGCCCTTGCAAAGAGATAAATTGGTAGCTCGTGTGTACAGACGCTGAGAGGTTAGAAGAGTGTAATTAACCTTGACTCAGGGCTACATGGCTTACTTGGCTTGTTGTACCCTTTCTCTCAAGTATGATTGATGATATAGCGTGTATATCCCCTGCTATAAAAAAAAAAGATTCAGACTATAATGAAAAAATAGTGTGTGTAATTAAATGAAACTGCATGATGAAGTAATTTATTTTATATTGCATTTAAATTCTCAGTTGATTTAGCCCTTGGCAGTGAAAGTGAAATTTCAGGTTTTTCAAATTGACTTTAGATTTTCAAAACTAGTGCTCAGAATTGAACTGGAAACTTGAAGACGTGGGCCTTTCTTCTCTGTCATGCATTTGTCTCACGTTTCTTTGGGTACTGTTCACATGACCCCCTTTTCTGCCCCCCTTGCTTTTAGAAGCTGTTTCTTGTGGCTGAACGGGTGAGTCCCGTGTCTTTCTCACGCAGGGGATGTCTTCTCTCTTTGTCTCCTCCAGCTCCTGAGTACTGGTGTTCCATCGCTTACTTTGAGATGGACGTGCAGGTAGGAGAGACATTTAAGGTCCCTTCAAGCTGCCCTATTGTGACTGTCGATGGATACGTGGACCCCTCTGGAGGAGATCGCTTCTGCTTGGGTCAACTCTCCAATGTTCACAGGACAGAAGCCATTGAGAGAGCAAGGTAGTTATTGATGGAGCAGTGGGATGGTTACGTAAAAAAGAGAGCATGATACATAGGCTGTGTTTGCAATCACTTTAATATAAATTATGCGAGTGCGTGATTGTAGAGGAATAAAAATCATCTTGAAAATGCAAACTACGATCATTCCATTTTCATTGAGATGCTAGTTAAAATAGAGTGATTAAAGGTGGTCTGTTTAGATTTAGTGATATTTCTGTGTTTTGCACAAGTAACTAACCTTTTTGAATCTAGTTTGGAAACTTAGTGCCTCTGAACATGTTTTTACAAAGATAAATAATACAAACTAAGGGCAGATGTATTCACCAAGATATTTCTGTAGAGTGTTATTTACAATGTTGGCAAAGAATAATAAAAGAGGAGAAACCCCTGCTGGTTGCAGTCAGGCAGACTGTGACTTAGGGCGACCACAGGCTTACAGGCCAGCATGTGCTCCAGAGGGCTTCCAGGCCTTTCCTCTGAGGCACTTCTGTGTGTTAGAGCCACTGAGCTTTAGATTAGTCATTGTGTATTTAGTCCTCTGTTGCTATCTAAGAACTCCTAATAAAAGGGAAGTGAGTAATTAAATAATGACATAATAAATATTTCAGGGTTTTTTTATGTGTAGAAATGTGTATGTAATAGAAATAAAATTCTCAAGATAACATAGTGAAACATAATTTTAGGTACTGTATGTGAGAGAGAGAGTGTGTTTAAAGTAATGTTATCTTCAATTTGTCACTGCGTGTTGTCTGGCAAATTGTGTAATTTCTAAGCTTGCTCTGGTAGAGTTGAAATAGTCATATGTGGCTATTGGATGGATATTGATGTATCCATTGTAGCTTTAAGCCATAGTTTGTTCATCTGTAAAATGGGAATAATAACATTTATCTTATTGGGTTGTAAAAGCTAAGTGAGAATTCGTGTTACATATTTCTGACACAAAATAAGAGCAGTGTACATAATTATTATATGTAAGTTGGGAGGAGGAGGAATCAAGGAAATGTGTAAAAACGTTAAAACTGCCTGCATTGTTTCTATTGGTGTGAAATACTTGGTTTTGTTCTTTTTAATTTTTTAATTCTGGCATGTTTAATCTGAACTAAATTTTGTTTTTCAATACTTAACATTTGAACTAGAATTCCACTTTTCCCCTGAAGGTTGCACATAGGCAAAGGTGTGCAGTTGGAATGTAAGGGTGAAGGTGACGTTTGGGTCCGGTGCCTTAGTGACCACGCGGTCTTTGTACAGAGCTACTATTTAGACAGAGAAGCTGGACGTGCGCCTGGAGACGCTGTTCACAAGATCTACCCAAGTGCATACATAAAGGTGAGCCGCAGTTCCACTTGGTGTTTCGGGCATGTTATCAGTGAAGAACACTGTCAACAAGGTGACTGGACCGCTGACCACACAAGAGGGCTTCGGCACAGCAGAGATGGCGAGGTTGGCACAGGAGTGGACGGGCCTTCTTTCTGTTGTGCGTGGCATTGCTAATGAGTCAGCGCCACGTCAGGGCACCCAACAGTTTAACTTGACTATTTTGAGAACCTTTATTTGGGGGGTGTAAAGGAGGATGTGGGAGTGGAATTAGGAGGAGTGCACACATTTCGTTTTATACTTAATGAGAAATTTTATTTCCTAGCATTTATTGATATGACCTGTTCTCTTGTTTTGTGACGTATTCATGTATTCATCCCCTACAAATTTTTTTTTTTATTTTATTAATTTTAATGAACATTTACCCCCTACAAGTTTTTAAGCAAATATTCACAGTAATAGAAGACTCTTTTGGGGACAAAACTCAACTTTAAAATTTCAATTAAAAAAATACACTTCTATTTTTGAAAGAAGTATTATTAAATAGCCTAAATATAATATATATTTTTGAATATCAGATTTTTTTCACAGTCATCATAAATTCCTTTCTTTTCAGCCATTATTCATTAGTGGAATCACTTGTACTTCTTGCAAGGACATTGCTTCTTGCTGTCTGCTCTTAGGTTGATTCTAACTCATAGTAACCCTGCATGACAGATAGCGCTGCCCCCTGGGTTTCCTCGGCTGTAACCTTTATGGAACCCGATCTCCTCTCCGGTGGCACTGCCAGTGAGTACAGACCACCAGCTTCGTGATGCCGAGGTTAACCATCGTGCCCCAGGGCGTCTGGAAGTCGCTGTGGCTACAAATTATGCGGTCACATGCTTGTTTGGTTCCGTCATGTTGATTCTGATTCACACAGTAGTCCCAAGGAAGAGCAGACTGCCTCGTAAGGCTTTCTTGGTTGCGGTCCTTACAGGAGCACTACACCAGGTCTTTCTCACGTGGAGCTGCTGCTTGAGCTTGAACCTCACATCTTTCTCATGGCGGCCCAGTGCTTATCCATCACGCCACCAGGCATGTTAGGAACTGCCTGATTGCCTTACAACAGTAAACCCAGTATCTCATTGTTAGTCACTGTAGTTCAGTTAAAGGGTACTAGGATCGTTTTTATTCAATGGGAACTGTCAAACATACCAAGTATGTAGAAAATAACGACCATCCGTCTCCTCATCAGATAGCTTTGGCTGCATTGCACACTGAAAGGACAGTGGTTTGAATCCAGCAGCCTTAAGAGAGTCTCTTTCCAGAAAGATTTACAGCCTCGTGAATCCAGTGGAGAGTCCCTTTGAGTTGGAACTGACCCACTGATTTGAAGGTGGACCCGCAGTCTTCATTCAGCATTTTACAACTGGAATGTGATCAGTGTTCTACCAGTGTGTGCTAGTGTGTTTCTCTGTCCCCCTTCCACAGACAGTGAAAAACAACCCTAAGCATTCATTCTTCTGATGCTTGAGTGTAATGCTATTGATGAGGAAATAGAGAACACAGAGGTTGCTTCTCAGTTCCATCAGAATGAGTAGTGCCTCCGTGGGGGGTTTTGGTGGTAGAGGGTATGTTCCAGTCCTGGTTAGTTAGGACGATAGACTGGAAGGGTTGGTTATTAAAAAGGCATAGGACATGGTCCTATTTTTATTGAAGTAATGCCATGGAGATTTCTTTTTGTTTGTTTGTACCTACATTTTTGAAATGGTATGTACAGTGCCCTACCAGAAATTATGTCTGTGAAATGACATGAAGAAATACTCCAATTTTTTTCCATGAAGGATTCTTCTATGTGGCTATTTTCTTTTTTTCTCTTTTTAAAATGGCTTGGGATTTCCTTTCTTGCTTTATAATACCTCTACACTTCTTGGCAGGCTTGTCTTGAGAGAATGACTTGATTTGGGTTTTTCTTTTCTCCTCACTGCCATTGCTTCTTCCTAAAGGACAGTCATACTGAGCCCAGCACACTGGGATCCACATCTCAGAACCAATTTTTCCATGTAGGTAGTTGGGGTGAATTTGTCCCTTGAAGAGATAGAGTTCAGCCTCCAGGCCTGCTGAGGACCTGATCCTCATTGCAGAGGTGTTTCTCCCGATTACCTCTGCCGTAGGCGAGCATTTTGCCCCTTGGTGCCCTTCTGACTCGACTGTCTATGTGCCTTACCAGCATGGGATTGTGGGCAGGTCCGCAGTCCTAGCACCGAAAGATCCTGGCTCTCCCCGTTCCCGTCTTATTCCCATCAAGGTGAATTTAAGTCAGTACCCAGTGTCCTCCTGGCTTCAATGTCCACTCTGAGCTGTTTTTATTTGTTTATTGGTTACTAAGTTTATCTTATTTTCAAGACTTTATAAAATGTCTTTGAGATCCAGTTCACACTCTTTTTTTATATTT